TTTTATAACAGATGAAAAAAAATACAAATAAACTTTTCACATAATCACAACTGCACATAGCTGGTAAATGAAAATGTTCTGTATACATATATTTAATAAAATATACTCACCAGTGGAATATGAAATGGTCCAAGAACAGTAGCTATTGCTGTGCTGGGAGAGGAGGAGGTTTCTCCTATTATGGCCTGAACTTTAACAGGTCTGTTACATGGCTCCTCAGACATTGAAGACACATTATCAGTATTGCTGTTCAAAGCAAGTGCAACTTTTATGCTTTTGACAGTGGAACCACATGTATCATAAATATTATATCCCAGAGAAATGCCTGGAAGGAGGTCTGTACTGTTATTGATTTCCTCAATGGCAAAACGCATGGCTTGAGCAAACTGGAACTCTCTGAAATTTAAACTTGTTTTAGACAGTAATACATAAAATTGTTGTAAATTGGTAAAGTTCAAAAAAGTTGTAAACAAAATAATTGCATTCATTGCATTTAATGACGTTTTGCAAAACACAAATTTTGTGGTGCAATTACCTGATGCATTCCAGAGGCAGAGGTTTTTCTGTATAAGAGTTCTCTCTGTTCTTCCAGCTGCTGTGAAAATAGAAAATTCCCCCCAAAATAACGTCCCCATCTTTAGACAGCTGAGGGATCTCAGGATCTCCTCTCTGTCTGCACAAAGTCTCATCAGACTGTGAGAAAGACACCAACAACAGTAGCTGTAAAAGTGCACATCCCTGTTCTGGCCACCTTTGTGTGGACATGATGTCATCTGAGTAAGCAAATGAACCCTGTTGCAACATGAAACAGTAAAAAAAAAAAAGATTGACCTGGTATTTATTAATTTGAAATCTACTTAAGTTGTATAGATTAAAAAAAAGGTTTATTCATGGAACTACAGGGTGGGGCAAGAGGAGGGGTTTAATGGCAGACTGAAATCTTGTTTATTCACAAATCCTTTATGTGAAATAAGTTGAAATTAACTGTTTCCACCTTTAAAAATGTACACTAGATCTTTGGATTTTAGATAGACAATACAAATTCATGAATGTATTTTTCTTGAAAACCTGAAGATGTCTGCAGTAGAGCTGTCATCAAATGACATGCTATAGAAGCTGGTGGTGTGGAATTATATAACCTAGTAAAAGTCACTGTTTCAACGTATTTCTTTAAAAAAACAAACACGTTCCTGAAGCTTAAGTCACCTCAGCACAGTCTAACATACTGTACATAACACCCATCGGTTATCTTAATCCTCTTCTTCCTTTCAGGGTCACAACTGTCACTGGTGCCCAAATCCAGTTACCACTATGTGAGGTGCGAGGCACACACTGAACAGGTTGCAAGTCCATCACAGTTGTCATAACACTAATTCCTATTTTCTTTTAGCTTTGTTTGATCCAAAAGACACATATTGGCACATTTACCACTGTGTTAAATGTGCTATGACTTTTTTTTTTAAATTGAATGTATTTTTTGAGAAAGTTGACCACACTATTTATGTAAAATGATCCACGATCAAAGTCATGCCCTCTTTGTCACACTGTAAAAAATGGGTGTAGTAACATTTATTTAATTATTCTTTTAAATTTTACAAAAAAAATCAAAATTTCTAAACTACTAGAATTTACTAAATAAACAATACGCAATATATTAAATGTCAATGTTACTGCACAAAAAAGTAAATGCTAATAATTTTTTACCAGTAATATTTAAGTGTTTTTTCTGGACAGCACATAAACATGAATATATTAAGTAAGTTCCACTCTTCTGGACTAAAACTGAGGCTGCATGCACACACAAAGGCTGCTGCTCCTCATTCCCTTGCTTCACTTT